CTAGGGGTTTAGGGTTCAGGGGATTAGGCTTGAGGGGTTTAGGGTTCAGGGTTTAGGGTTTAGGGTTTAGGGCTTAGGGTTTAGGGTTCAGGGTTTAGTGTTTAGGGCATAGGGCGTAGGGCTTAGGGTTTAGATGGCTTTTTGACAAGCAAGTTGTTAAAAAAATAGTAATAATAAAATTATCTATCGATATATATATATATATACACAGAATCACCTACATACACACATGTATATATGCACATACATGTACTCAGCTATTTAATTGCAGTTGCTTTGTCGTTTCACGCCTTGGATCCCACAGATCTTAAGATCTGCAGCTTCCCACTTCCAACATCGCAGTCGGGTATGTTGTGCACCTCGCTCGTCTGGCTAGACCCCATACTGTGCTGATGCTTGCTGCTTTGTTGGCAGCCCGGAGACCTGCCTCTCCAATTCCGCCTTTCTTAAGAGGCCCATGGTGAGGTAAACGTGAACTTGGGACAGGAAGGGCTGACGGTGTAGGTTGTCGGTTTGCAAAGCACACGAAACCTTCAAGCCTGAGCTAAACACACATAGCGCATCAATCTTAAACCCGAGAAGTTATTGAATGAAAACTCAATTGGAAATACCTTCAACTCTCAACCCAAAACTCCTGAACCTAAACCACTAAACCCCAAACCCTCAACCCAAAACCTCTAAACATTCTACAAGGAACGAAGCGGCGCTTGTCTAAGGGCTACTTCCCTAAAGCCCTATATAAGCCCTCAACCCCGGAGCATATTTTGCTAATATAGGGGCCGCGCCAAAATAACTACCCATATTATTTTAGGGGCTAGTCTAATTACTAAGGCCCCTACATTACGGAGCCCCCTTAAAGGAGCCTTTGAGGAATCCTTGGGGCTGTGCAGGACTTTCGTTCTGCCATCCAAGATGGCATGAAAGCCGTGCGAGCACATGCCCAGGAGCTCTGTTAGGGTTTAGGGTTTAGGGTTTAGGGTTTAGGAGCTCTGATCCCTTAAGGCCTTAAGGTTTTCCTTAATCAAGGGATATTGGAGTCTCTGGGTGGAGGTTGATCCAGAGTCTGGAAGGTTTCACTTTGCGATATGCTGCAGGAAGTGGGGTTCAGGGTTTAGGGATTTGGTGTTCAGGGTTGAGGGGTTTGGGCTTATGATCAGGTCCTTTAGACCTTTAGGGTAATGATTTAATGTATCCCTCACCCATCTTCCTAGTTGACCTGTGTTGGTTTGTAGCATGTAGGACTTCAAAGGGTTGTCTTGGGGTTTTGGGTGCTGTGGATTTAGGCTTTTGGGGGCTTGCGCTTCAGGTTTTTGTTGGCTTAGGGTTTGGGGGTTACTAGTTCAGGGTGTTGGGGTTTGCTGGGCTCTTCAGGGTGAGGAAACAAGAGGTTTAATGTAGGTCTCTGCATTGTCACTCGGAAAGCTTGCAGGCTGGAGGTTTGATGTGCCATGGCTCAGGCAAGCGCTTTCCCAGAAATTTGCTCTAGTCTGAAGGGCGCCGCTCCATCAGGCTTTCGATAGTCGCGGCCTGTATCTGGCTCTACAGACCCTATGTAAACCCTAAACACTAAACCGTAGAAGGAGCATTGTGTGTACCCGATCTTCGGTCCCGTCGTCACCCTGAGAGTCAGCGTGGTACTCATCCGACATAGACTACCCCGGAGCTCTGTTCCATCTACTCGATCCTCAGTGCAAGTCCGAGTATACTAAACCGCCTTTACACCTAGGCCTGAGTCCGAAACCCCAAATCCCAAGTCCTAATATAGGGGCCTGAATAATTATCTATATCATGTTGGGGGTTCCTTATTATAAGCATAGTATAATGGGCCCCAAAACCCTGTTCTAATTAAAACGGCCCCGATATTAAATTACACCGACAACGCAGAGCCTAAGCCGCTGTCGGTTCCCAGGAGCTCCTGGCATTGCTTCAGCTCAGTATGCAGCGATCTCAGAGATTTAGGGTTTCGTTCTTTGCGGGTTTAGGGTTTAGGAGTTTAGGGTTTAGGGTTTTGATTTAGGGTTTCGTTCTTTGCAAATGGAGCTGGGCCATTCGGAAATTCCCCGTTCTTCCTCGTCGTCAGCAGCATCGTCTATATAGGCGTTCCATAATTAGAGGTTTTTCAGGGCTTGATCAAGCTTAAGATTTGAAGGGTTTTTGAAGGTTCGTGCAGGATAGTGGAAGGTTATC